CTTTCACTAGTACTCTAAATACTTGACCTGAACACATGGAATTAAAATTTATTATGAAGCGAAGATATAAACAAACAAATATATATCAATTGCAAAGGAGCCAAGGCTGATTTTTACAATCCAATACCACTTTATTACTTAAAGAAAAATGTACTAAATGAAGCAAGTGAATAAAATGAAGCTGAATAAAAATAAGTTAGCACATTTGAAATGAGACTGTTGAACAAAACGAAACTGAACTGAAAGCTAAAGTTAAATTAAAAGACGGGAACATTTTAGAACAATGCCAGTCATTTGGAGAATAAAGGAACACTTACCGTTAGTTCTCAACTGAAAATACAAAATGAAATACTTATAACGCTAAAAACAGGGTTTCGATACTCATGGTGAGCACAACAAACACACAAACAAGAAATACTTAAAACTCAGTTTGTATTTCACACTCAAATAAACAGTTAATTGTATGAATACACAATAATTGTTTCATTATGACATGACTGTGTATGTATGTATCTTTAAACTTTCATGCTATCTATGTAGCTTATTGTGTTTAATAATGAATTTTATTTTGGTATTTGATGTGTTTTTTATAAGATAATGAATATGTTGCTAATCTTTATTTCATATCTTCAGAACTTTTAAACGTAGCATCATCGAAAACGCAAAAACAAAATATCTTTCATGCTGCAAGAATGTAATGCTCATTAAATAACTATATAATTATTAATGGAGTAATTTTGTAAAAGTTGTATGTATGTCTTCATGTTTTGCTTTTGAGAAAATATTTTTTTATATATTGTCATGTATAATGTTCTATAAATACTTGTTCGATGTTTTTCCCAGAGCTAACCAACCTGCTGAGACAATTTGAAATCTTAACGCCATTTTACTTTCAATAAGTTGCAATGAAAACGTACCGAAAGGTATAGTTTGTTAGGATCGTCAACCACGCTACCTTTCATTCTCTAAATCGAAATTACAAAAAAGCCCTTCCTCAGATATAAGTTAAATAAACATTCGTAAACAAGGTTCAACTCGTAACATATACTAGACTACCCGTGACCCGTTGGGTCATCCACTAATCAGAGGTTATGAAGAATTCAAGCTAATTACAATATTGTACCGAAATGAAGGTTTATTTTGAATTAATTTAATTAAATATTTCAATCCATTCGTGTTATTCATAATTCAATAAAGTATTTTTAATTTTGATCGGGAGTAAAAGGAAAGACCATTTCATTTTTCAAAAAAGTGAAGTAAGAAGTTTCATAAAGAGCGCGAACGGTAGTGTGAATGATTTTTTGACAGAAAAAATAAGCAAACAAACAAACAATCTCAGAGTTTTAGTAGTATATAAACAGATTCTTCAAGATCTTGTTTTTGTCATCTTATGCCTTTTAATGAAGATGGAAACATTGACAGGGAAATAATATAATAGCCAATGCTCGGCGAGAGGTTTTCGTTTATAAAATTTTGTTGTTGTTCTCGACTTGATTTTTATTTTACTACCTCGTCTCCATAGTTACTATTGCAAATACACAATAATATTGTAAGTTCATTTTATTGTTGTTCTTTTTACGCGCCGTTATAACACATTTTCATCTCATCATTTAATTTCTGTTGTGCATATATTGTTGTATAGATATTTTTAAAGTGATTCATCAGGTGAAAAACGAATACATAGATAAATAAACCGATAGGTGGCGCCATCTAGTGTACCTAACTTCATCTAGAAATTTTCTTAAAAGTGACCCGAAAAACAGGGCTAACTCGGTAACCCGTGGCTAGATTTTAACGAAACTTGTTTTATTCTTTTTCTATTCTCATTTCATTACAAATATGGCGCTATTGTGCGCCGTTTTTGCTGTATTTAAATAGTGACCCGAAAAACGGGGCTAACTCAGTAACCCTTTGCCCGATTTTAACGAAACTTGTTTTATTCTGTTTCTATTCTCATTTCATTACAAATATGGCGGTATTGTGCGCCGTTTTTGCTGTATTAAATTACCGACAAGCACATACACAAACAACCTCAGAATTTTAGTAGTATATAGATAGTGTCGATGATTTAGAAAATTTACGAAATCGTATGACAGAAGGAATAATTTATATATTTATATCTTAAGAATACGGTTAAATATACATATACATTTGTTCACCTAATTTATCTTATACTCGTTTCTAAACATGATGGTGTTACTATATTCTTAATCTGTAAAGCACATCAGTTCAGAGCAAGAATTTTAATGTTGTAGCTATAGAACTGGTTGGATGGTTGAATAGTTTGAGCTTCTCTATCATCTTTGAGATACTTTCTTTCAAGGATTTTTCAGTAATGAATAGTACACCTAAACAGAACTAACTTGAATATATTGATTAGGGTATTGTTTTAGAACTCTATATTACAAGCTAGTAAAATACTAAATGCCCAACACCATCAAGTCTTTGTTTCCCGTGGTTTACCTTTATGAGAAACAGATGAAACGTTAAGGAATTTCATTATGGCAGAAATGAAGAGTGTGTTATAACAAACATATAGGGTTCCACACCAGCAGTGTGACGTTCCTTTTATCATGTAATTATTATGTTGTAGAAAACATTGTCAAGCTACTAACGCGGGAAATACCGAGTAATGTTACATGTACATAAATTGTTTTATTATGAAAATGTAAATATCCAGAAACAAGAACTGTTCTCTCACCAAAAGTAAGTATATACAAATCTTTGTTACACTGTTGGTTACCACAGTTGCATCCAGAACTTTAAATAATTGTCTCATTTTCGTCAAAGTCCGCACAGGCTGGTTTAATTACTTTAGGATACAACTGACAAAATCGAATTATTCTTCTCTACACTGTTATTACAATACAATCTGTAATAATCGCCTCTTTACGTTCTTTTTGTCTAAACTAGCAGTCTAGGTCTATCTATATCAAACTAAGTTTCCAACTCGTGAATGTGTCCTTGTAAAGCAGCTAGCATAAATACAAGAACCTCAATCGCAATTTTATCTTCATCAAATGTAACAATATCTGGACTATAGTAAATAGATTAATCATAGTCTTATCAAATGATATTCTTGACAAAATATACGATATTCCAAACAGATTAGCACAGTCTTTATGGGATAAGTCGTCGCTTACCCTCATTTGTATGTATATAAAAACATTAATGAAGTATCCCGGTTCACACACAATTAACAGATGAAGTCCAATCTACCAACAACCTTGTGTTGGGAGTGAAAGTATTTAACGATTAGTTGTATGCGCGAGGAGAATATAAGTTGAGAGTCAGAGAACTTCGTTTTTAAGAAGCGTGAGAGTTCGGCATGGCCAGGTGGTTAGGGCGCTTGACTCGTAATCTGTGGGTCGCGGGTTCGAATCCCCGTGACACCAAATATGCTCGCCCTTTCAGCCGTGGGGGTGTTATAACGTGACGGTCAATCTCACTAATCGTTGGTAAAAGAGTAGCCCAAGAGTTGACGGTGGGTGGTGATGACTAGTTGCCTTTCCTCTAGTGTTACACTGCTAAATTAGGGACGGCTAGCGCAGATAGCCCTCGTGTAGCTTTGCGCGAAATTCATAACAAAACAAATAAGAAGCGTGAGATGCAATACGTAATGCTCGAAACTCACATCGCTAAACAGTAAAACATCCAAAACTCCTCCTGTTATGACCTTTAATGTAAGAGTATGAAAAATAGTAGGAAATAGTTTCTAGATTTTTTTAGCACAAGTCTCATATCCTTTCCTTTCATGGAAAGGTTGTCATCCCCACGTAACAAAAAACTCATTAATTCGGCACTAGGATCAAACATTTGTTTCAAAACTAATATATGGATATTTTAACATTCCTAACAATAATATCTTTGAATCTGTATAGGTAGATTATATATGATAATCATACCTAAAACTCTAATTAGACTACGCGATTTGATAAATCACTTCTCCAAACTTCTAGTTTGTCTAGAATGTCCCTAAAATCATGAAGTCATTGTAGCCAAAGCCACATGAGAAAAGGGAAATTAATCTTTTCGTGAAAAGTCAATTATTCTTGATTATATATTATATTTTTTGAGTAGTGGGTTGTTCAAGAAACAATGTATACAGTGGTCATTTCAGAGCATTGCATAAAACCAAGAAAATAAATGTGTATTGGTCAAAAGTCTATATATAACATCCATTTTCATTTGTTTTCTCAGCTTTGGAATTTTATATAATG